TCTTTCCTGTCGATACGGTATCTACCCACTGCCTGTAGGGCAACCCGCGACCATGGAGATATAAACAGCTTTTTATAAGGTAAAGATAATAAAACAAGGTCTTTGTCTGCAATGATTAGACATGTTTTTTATTATTGTCATTAGTGATTATCTCAATTTCGGCTAAAAGACTTGACAAAATCCTACACACTGTGCCTTTAACACAAAATTATAAACCAAAGACACACATAAGCAGCTTGGGCTAAAAATAACCGTGAAAGTTTTAGAAAAAGTAGTGTGGATTTTCTAAAGTCAGCTCTTAGCACATTTAAATAATTAAAGGCTAAATGTTAAATTTAAACATGAAATGCTAAATATTAACGCTAAGTATTAAGTATAAATGTTAAAGCTAAATGTTACATCTAAATGTTAAATAGTGATGGTTAGGCTTAATGATAAAGAGATAAAACTTAACTGTACAAAATATTTAGCCATTATGCAAATATTGTCCCTGCTGATTAGTGGCATTCCTGTCAATCAAAGTTTGAATTTCACCAGTTGAAGCAGATAAAAACATTAAGCACCATGTTTTGTTTTTTCAGTGCTCATTGCCATCTTTGCATTGTCGAGCTCTTCTGGTTCTTACCATTGGCTCTAACCAGAAGAACCAAAATAAATGCTGTTTCTAAAATAAAAAAAAAGAAACTTACTGAAGGAATCACTACATTGCTGTGACAATAAATATCCAGAAAAACCTTTGTAGAAACATTTTGGGAGACATGTTCTTCTATAAACACAGTCAAACTTTTATTTTAGTGCTTCCACTTACAGACAGTGTCAATTTGAATGTCAATAAACATTTAGATTTAACATTTAATGTTTAGATATAAATTTAACATTTAGCTTTAATATTGATATTTAGATTTATATTTAGCATATAGCGTTAATACTTAGATTTAACTATTTAAATGTGCTAAAAGGTGACTAGGAAATCCACCATACTTTTTTCAAGCATTGTTTCAAACTAAACGTGCCAAACTTTTGCAGTTATTTTTAGTACAAGGTGCTTTAAAAATGGCACCATGGTCACACAAGAATAAATACAACAAACAATGCATTTTAATTTTACGTAACTTAATTAGATTTGTCAGTAAGACTTTTTTCACATGAATCATTCTCATTAACCAATTTAATGCTGCAGCATTAAATATTAATAAACAAGAACAGAATGCTGCATGTTATAAGCTACATATTTGCCGTATAAATTATTTGCAGTCAAACGATTTATACCATCTTTCAACAGTCTTTACAAAGTGCAGTGAAACACCTCGTAAACACTTTAAATTAAAGAAAATCTGGATGTTTCAATCAGCACACCTTATTTTGTTTACTTTTATTTGCACTAACCCTTTAAACATACATTTTTTTTGCAAATGTCTAGACATTTTTTGCTCCCTTAAACATACAATTATAATAATATAAAAAAGCAGAAGCAACCGAACAAGAGAACTGGATCAATACTAAACTTTAAAAAATCAAAACAGAAACCAGAAAAGCTTTAATGATAAAACACAAAGTGGCTCATTGTTGCAGATAAAGTGAAGTGTTGTTTGGATTACAATGACTACGCCTGGTTCTTGGGTTTCTGCTTGTGGAGCTGTTTCTCCAGAACAAAGTGGACTAGTTTCTTCACCCAGGCAGACCGAGGGTTCAGACAGACCTTCTCCCCGCTCATCAAACCGGCTCTGAGACGAGACATGAACACAGATGAGACTGAAGTTTAGCAGGTTGTGACAAGTGCCTCCAGTCATGAAACATTTTTATTTTTCCCCCTTGATTCTGCGACTGCGTGACGTTTCAAACTGTATAATTTCCATGAACCCACTCAAAGTTGTGAAACAACTATGTCTGAAGTCCCAATCTGGGGACAAACATCTGATTAAAACTGATACCAGTATAAGGAAATATTTCATTTGACTGCCAGTCTTTCCAGAGAATTCGGTAGCAGAGACTCCCACGGTCACGTCCTACTTTTACACAAATAACTATCAGTGTTATTGTGAGAGATTATACAGTATATTTCACAAGCCTCTGGCAAAGTGAGTCTGTGTCAGCAGTTTGATTGTGAGATAGCAGACAGAACTCAAACAACAAACAGTGAACCATAAACTATTATTAAAAACCTCTAAAATGTGAATCACTAGAAAGAAACCAGTATAACTGGTGAAATATACAGATCTTTTACTGACTAACTGAGCATTATTTGTTTTAAAATGTTTGTACGACTACTAGTGATAGTGATGTTGTGTCCAATAGTTAACAGTGATTAATATCATATCAGACATAACATCAATCATTGAGGACAGATGTTTGGAGAAAAGAGCAGAAGAGCCTGCTTCAAACAGTTTCTCAGGTTTATGAATCAACTGTTGCTCAAAAACAACATGCTGATGTGAAAGCTAATAAACTTCTACATTTTGCATGACAGCTTTTTTATTTTCTCAGTTGCACAAAATGCATGTTACAACATGAAGCATGTTACTCTTGTTTCCTAAAGCTGCTGAAAGTATCGCTCCACTGGGAGTTGAAAAAACCTTTGACTGAAAACCCTGAGCGCTTGAAGGCTTACGTTGTTTTTAACAAATTTGGGGTCTGATTTATCAAACATTTGCGCACATTAAAACATGTACAGTGATCCCTCGTTTTTCGCGGGGGGTTGCATTCAGAAAAAAACAATGAGAAATCCGTGAGGCAGTTAAGCCGGTACACCGGGTTCCCACCGAATGCGTTTTGAGCAGCAAAAATGCGCCCAACGCCTTGTACGCAATGAAACGTGTTCGGCAGCAGACTAAACACGTGTCTGAAGAGGGAGGAATACCAGTCTGTATTGATGACGGGTGAAATAAAGATAAAATAAAGGAAATAGCTTTGCTTTATTCACTAAAGAGCAATTGAACGTCGTGCACAGCAGATGATTAATTCACCAGATAATTTAGAGGCAGTTTGTTCAGTTTCGCCACTCCAGGAGCTGTGAGCTGACGGCCTTTTTTTTTTTGGAAGCGCCTGCTGCAAAGCAGGAGGAAAGGAGAGCGAAAAAATTCCAGAACTTATTTCTAGCGGCAGAACAGGTTGGAAGATGGTTATTTGCTGTTATTTATTTATTTTTACATATTGATAACCTGTTGAGCACAGAGACTGTTTAGCCAATCAGGATGAAGAACACACTGCACTGTGAAAAAAAAACTGCACAAAAAAATCCGTCAAGCAGTGAGACCGTGAGGTGAACTGCGTTATAGAGACATCTAACAAATGAGCAAAACAGCAGATGCAACCCATTCAGCGTGTTTGCCTTCATGAATATGTAGAATTTATGATGATTATCAGAATGTGCAAAATACTCAGAGGAGGATATGTGAATGATTTAGCACCTGCAGTGGGATTTATCAAACCTAACTGYGATTGCTGTTTTTGAATCTATATTTAGCATGTTTGAAAGGCAAGTGCAAACTGGCTGTGGTTGTTCTAATTTATTCTACTTGATATATTTGTGATATACATCTTTTTTATTTCTTTTGGTTTAGTATATGGACCTATTTGTGTGTCTTTAATAAAGATGACTGATGATAATGAGGTCATCGCTCAAACGGCACAAACTATTGATAACTATTGGACAGAACATCACTTCAAAAATGACCAAGCTGTCTTTAAAGGGGCAATATCATGTAAAATCAATTTTTTTTAGTTTTATATCATGTTATAATGTTATACTC